ATTTGGCAAAATTTTGTTTTTGTGAACTCTGCCATCAGGTGACAAACCATGACCATCTTTCTTTCATGAAACATGAACATGGCTATTTTCCCTAGAATTGTAGACCTAATTAAGTTCATGAACTGAGGTACTACTGTATTATGTTTTAATATTTGTGTTAATAATTTAAAAACTAAAAGAAACATATATCATGATGCATGTAAAAATATAACTGATATGCAAAAATAATCCATTTTCCAAATAGTTCTTTAGTTGGTTGCATGTTAGGATTTACTAAGACTTTCAACTGGAAAAAAGGTGATGGTCAAGTCCACATAAACTAGTCAAACCTAGCAAAGTAAAACTCAGAAACAAAGGCAAGATTCATTCCACTGTGTGCCAGTCATTTCTTTAAACAGTTAACTGACACACCAAAGGGAGCCTCAAGTTATGTCTCCATGAAACATTTTCTAGGAGTGATCCTCACTTCCCCAGCACCCCAGTCGACAGAGCCACCAGTTTGGAATGCAGGTCTCTGAATCTTACCCAAGACCAGGAGCTTGTATTTAATGAGTTCCCATCTGCCACCCACAGGAGTCTGTGCATCCCTGTGCTGTGTGCTACGGCACCACAGCCACCCTTGACTCAGGACAGAAGTCACGTTTGCCCAAGTTACAAATCTGAGCACACCTTTACTGTACAGATGGCACAATTTGGTAAATGCAGAAAAATATTCTACTTCACATTTCCCTGATCAATTCTTATTTCCATTTGGTACATCACCGAAAACCTGGCAGATCATTCAGTTAAAAAAAAAAAAAAATCACTAAAAGATTTATAGAAGAATTAAACTATTATTTTCCTCCAAACAAAAGATTTTTTTCTTCATTGGCCAAATCAGCACTGGCTGACAGGGGAATGAAATGCAACAGGACACTGAAGCTTGTTGTCAGGGAAGACTAAATTTTTGCTTTCAAGTATAAAGATTAACTTTGATGGTTATCAGCCACAAAGAACAAAATGAGGAAAGCAAGAGTGCTCTGGCAATTACATTCTTTCAGCTTTACAGTCTGTACACGCAAGGGTCCAAGACTCTGACAAGGCGGCAGTGCTGCTCAGAGGGCCCTGTTCCCAAGGAGACTCACGCCGCAAGCCTCCCCGCTATGGTGTGGTGAGGCACGCTCTCCACCAGCCTCACTTCAGCTTGGTCCGCTGGTCTCACAGCAGCTACTCAGGAGACTGGCCGAAATCTTCAGTCCAAGACTCCTGGCTGACCCCTAGGCCACCATCTTGTCTAAAACACATACGTTCTCATCGTATGAAGGCCACTCTTCAGGTTGCATAATATACAGCAGCTCTTATGGAAGACAAAGTGTCCTTCCTCTTTGGCAAGAGAGCGCTGTCCGGCAGCACGGCTCTGACTAGCTCTTCTTCATACGCGCCTTCATGTGGGTCCGCATGTGGGCAGCAATGGAACCCGCTATTTCCGCATTCTTCTTGTTCTGGCCAAAATAATCTAAAAACTCACCATCTGGTCCAATCAAGTACATTATTATTGTATGATCCACCTGCAGAGATAAAGGAGTATGGTGTGACCAAAGAATCACCAGAATATGATGCTTGTTTTACTGCATAAATGCTGCAGAACAAGAGAACTCTTTGTTAACACCTGAACAACTATTGTGGCATCTATTATGTACAGAACAGGCCTATGCATATTATAATACATTCACAGCAACGGAGTGCCTGACATCTTTGTGTTCCAGCAATTTGCACCAGTTATTGCTTATAACTCAGCTAGCACCTCTAATTCCTTGGTTCGATCCTTAACATACGTAGGCATGAAGTCTTGACAAAGAATTCACCCTCTAGGGTTTGCTGCAGGCTTTCATAACATGATCAGCATTTGGGGGACAGTACATTTTGAGTAAAAATATCTTTCATTCCTTATTCACAGTATAAAGAGATGCCACAAAAACTTAAACTGCTTCTGAGACATTACTTTCTCTAGTAGTTCTTCAATATACTTTTTAAACACTCATTTACATATTTTATTTGGAAGTGTTTACACTAGTACAGTGAATAGATGAGAGAATAGATGTCATTAGTTTAGATATCATCAATTTATTATAAAAGAGACATGGGAATTATGTACATGATAAAAGATGGCAGAACCTCAGTGGAATGGGCAGTGTTGTGTGACGCCATTTCAACAGCGATTTACTCCATTCTACGTATTTTCCAAGAATGTCACCATCTCTAAATAAGAAATAATCCTTGTTGTCTAGAACTACTTCGGTGCCTCCATATTCTGGAAGAACTTTATCTCCAACTTTCACACTAACTGGTGGGATCTCTCCACCCTTTTCCTTAGAGCCGGACCCCAAAGCTACCACAGTTGCCTGCAGCACTTTGCCTTGAGATTTTTCTGGAAGCATAATGCCTCCTTTGGTGACACTTTGGGCTGTGCTCCTTTCAACCAATACGCAGTCAAACAGTGGGAGAAACTTCCGAAATGCCTGTCTTGCCACGGCTCCTGCCCCGCAGCTCACTCCACTACCATGCTGCCTCCACAAAGAGAAACCTACTCTTCCGCCCCTTGACACATCTCAATATATTCTTGTATGCTTCAGGAACAACTGGTTCTCATTCACTATTGCCTATTTCTGCTTATCATGTTTTATATGAAGCCAGAAATATAAACACTAATTTAATTACATAATCTATAAATCCTAACACAATATTTAGCCCTAATACTAGTAATTCAAATACAAACAGAAAGATGTATTTTTCTCCCTCAAGAAATTTTTATATACTACACTGAACAATCCTATCTGAAAAAATTCCTATCTGGAAAAGCTGCAGGAGCCATAAATAATATACCCTCAAAAAGTCCCCTTCGATCTATCATTTATTTTTCTGACAAAATTCTTAAAACATTCCAGCTTTATGTTTAGATTAGTCATCAATCATTTTAGTTGCTTCCACTTTTAAAAAGTCCTAGGCATTTATTTCAGTCTTGATGGCTATTTGGCAAGACAGGAAGAAAGGAATGTGATCACACATTCCAAGCTGGAGACACTCCCCGAAATATACCCTGACACACATTATATGTCTGTGAGGTTATTACTTTATATATACACATTCACAAGGAGCGAGCAAATGGAAAGAGCCACCTGCCCACCCCATAAGGAAAGAATGTCACTGAGAGCACTCCAACAGCTGGTGAATTCATGTGTTAAAAAGGATTTACTGCAGGAGCAAGATGGGGCTTGACAGTCTCAACATATGTGATACAGAGATCAGAGTGAGGTCTCCAGGGCTCCTTTCTAGGCTTACTCTGCAGTTTACACCTGTCATTTTGTCTTTATCTCTACTCTCTTCCTTAAAAAGTAGATTTGTAGTATGTGGAACTTCTTTTCTGACTGTTCTTAACATAAGTTGCTTCTTTATATGCATATAAATACCTATCGATATCTGTCACACTTGTTAGTGGTTACTTCTTAGTAGCACTGGGGTGGGGACACGGCAAATTGTATTTGTTTTACTATGGAGATATTCCAAGTTTTAGTAGTTTCTAGTACAGAATAATGAAACAAGGAATTATTAACATAGCCTTTCATATGTCACCTCAGACCTGAGATAGCTATACCACAGGCTGGAGTGTGTAAATTATACAACCAGTGAATGTCCGACCAAAATAACTGGTGATGTTAGTTCAGTGTCAAAGCCTTGGGTTCAATCCCTAGACTTAAATCTCTGTCCAACTTCAAAATTACAATCTTGGCATGTTGTCACCATCTCTAATCCTACTAGAAAACAACAATGTAGTTTTTCTACTGTGTAACTTAAACGTTTTTTTTAATTGCTCGAAATGGTAAATTCATGCACAAACAAAATCCAGTAAATTTATATATGGACAATCTCCTTCCTATGCTAGACTCCTATAGTCCCACAGTACCTCAGTTATTCTCAGAGGGAACCACTGCATTTTTCAAGAGAAATTCTTCATTTGTTATTATATGTCTACATCTACTATTACCTATTTATTGTTATTTTTTAATCTATTTGGTTGCTGCAAGTTCTCACTATACAGCTTGGATTCATGGTGATCCTCCTGTTTTCAGCTTCCCAGGTGCTGGGATTACAGGCATGTGCCACAATGCCTGGACTCTGGGGGCAGGGCTGGCACAGCATGTGGTGCCAGGGATTGAACATGGTGTCCTGCGCTTACCTAAGCAGGCACTTTAGTCTGCTGAGCTATCTTGCCGGCCCCTATTTTTATACACAAGTAACAGGTTACATTTGCTTTCTTGTTTAATGACATATATCAGTGTTCTAGGATCAGTTCTCTTTGAAAAACAGTGGCAGTGTGCATGGTGTCACATGCTTAAAATCCTAACACTCTGGAAGGCTGTGGCAGGAGAATCAGAAGTTTGAGGACAACTTAGTGACTTAAGTGTCTCATAATAAACATAAAATGGCTGGTGATGTCAGTTTAGTGTCAAGGCCCTGGGTTCAATCCCTAGTAATGCAAAAACAAACAACAAAAGTCTTGTTCCAAATGCATTTCAACTGTATTTCCTACTTTTCCAATTTTGACAATACGTTTTCAAACTTTCAGACCATGTCTTATACAATGGGTGAAAACTGGCATCTTACTAAACTGTTTATAATGAAATAGCAACTTATGTCAGTTGTATTCTTTTTTCAAAAATATTTTCTAATTACTACAACTTTTTGTACTGTAATTGTGCATAACGCAGTAACATGCAGATTTATTAGATTTCTACCCAAAAACCCTAAAAGTTTTTCTCTTGTTGCTGTTGGATGA